TTTTGACCTATCACACATAATATCACCTATCACACAGCTTATTTTGGCAATATCATGCAGAAAACCTTTGCCACCCTGATTTTTATGGTCACGAACCACACACCCCAAATTTGCTTTTTTAAAAGTAATTTATTTTAAATAATACCATCCATGTGGGGCTTGGCTTGTGGACGAGGGTATCTTGCGTGATTTAAAATCACTGATCGCGCTGGATCGCTTCGTTCGCGGATTTAGCCTCACATTGGGGTGGGTTTCACATTTGGTCTATGGTTGTATTTGATGTAAATCTGATTCCATGTATGTATGATTTGAGATGAGATTAAAGAAAAAATATATATATAACTGATCCTCCAAAAAAAAACCATCCATCACTTTGAGATTTGGCTGTTAAGTATTGACTTGAGGTATACCAACATCTTCATATGTCAATATTTAAAACATTACTGCAATTTTTCTAAACATACTAACTCTGTGTCTACTAGCTACATGCTGAAAATTGGTTTTTCGCTGCTGTCAATCAAACCTAATCAGACAGTACCTTTCATATTTTTGACTGGCGGCAGCCAAAAACCAAATTTCAGCTTGCAGACACAGAGTTTGCATGTTTATGAAAGTTGCAGTAACAAATCACAAGTTAACCATACCTAATTGTTTACAAACTTCAATTTGACTTTCTGTTTCATCTTTCCTGTCCAAGATTGACTGCACACTCCCCTACACAAGCAGATCACATAGTAACAGATAAATGTGCTAGTATTAACCTTGGTATGTAATTTTATATATTCTTTAGTATTAGTGACAGTCTGTGACAGCCTGATTGCTTTCCACTGGATTTGCTTTCAGTGATTTAATGGGATTCGATTTTTCACTACGACAGTCAAAAAAAAAAAGGCATCAACTGATCAGTTTTAAGTGACGGCAGTGAAAAACCAAATTTTAACATGAAGCTTGCAGCTACCAAGTTCGCATGTTTATGAAAATAGCAATAAGATGCAATATAGAAATGAGTATGCCCATCACTGACTGATAATCTAGAATTTTCAACACTGTACACAGTCAGACATCAAATGTATGCACCTTTCAGACGTCCCTTGTTTACAATCCCCAAGAAATTTATTTTTACCTTCACAGCTTTAGGAATTTGATCAACATATTGAGGCTTGATGATTGCCTGAGGAAACGTAAACAAATATATGAAGTTAAAGACCTGCATTGGTGATTTTAGGTTTTGAGAGAATTTCCAATTATGTTGGCTACTTGTGATACAGTAATAATAATAAAAATGCAAGACATACAGACCTTCAAATCATCTTCAAGAATCTTGGTAAAGTAGTTCTGTAATTCAGACCCTCTAAAATGAAGCAAGATTTCTTGCCAATCAGGAGGATTCTGTAAACATAGGAAACCCATGTAAGTAACTGGAAACAATAAAATTTGGCCAGGAACAACAGCACTGAGCTCAAGGTACTTACATCGAATCGGCCTAAATTTGGCTTTTGCTTTCCTGCAAGGATTTTAAGTGCTGTAGACTTCCCAATACCATTAGTACCTACAAGTCCTAATACTTCACCAGGACGAGGAATTGGAAGTCTGTAACAATTAATGGGGTATGATAATTATATTAGTTTGGCAGCATAACTATATAAGTGCAAAAACCTAGAGCAAAACTATCATAATTGCTCTTGAATTTTACAATCTTGGTTGCGCTTGTGTATGTGAAAAGAGTTTGTTGGTGCTTTGTGCTTTCAGTGCTTTGCTTTGAGGGTTTTTCTTTGGTTTTTCTGGTTTCCTAATTTCCTCTTTCAGTTAAAATCAATTTTCAAATTCTAATTTGATTTAATGGTAGCTTTTTATAAAATAATTGGGATTCTACACGTGCTATGATTGGTCAAAAACCATGTTTGATGAGAGTATCAAAACACACTATTGTCATCTTAGCGCATGCGTGTATTGCAACTGTCAGATTTTAATCTATTGCGCGCGCTTATTGGTCAGTTTTGAAAAAGACGGCACATAGGAAAAATTTACTATTACTTAGGCTTTGGGTTTCTTCCATCTTTTCGCACGTTTGTTATTATATAAAACAAATTAAAAACAGTTTTCTGTGTTTGATATTCTGATCAAAACACTTGGGATGTTGGGAGAACACTCGAGAACCTGGAAATCACTCCGCTACGCGTCGTGGTTTCCTATGCTCCCCTCATGTTCTCTCAACATCCCGCGTGTTTTGATCAGAGTAGAAAACACGGAAAACTGTTTTGGATCTGTTAAATCAAGTGGGTCTGAAAACCTGTTAGGTTTTTGTTCTACCATGGAGTGCTAAATCTGATTAAATTTTAGATTTACACGCCCTTTCAATAAACCCCTTTCAAACCTGGGCTCAAGGAATGTTTGGTACTGTCCCAGGTTATGTTCAGTCAATCATTGATTAAACAATTCTGGGCAAAATATTTCAACAAAAAAAATGAAATTTTGATCTTTTTTTGAGTGTGAAAATGTACAATTTTCGTACAAGTGTGTCCCTGAATAAATGGGATACTTACCTGTGCAGTTTGAAGGAATTCGCACCATAACGATGGGTAGTTTCCTTTTCTAGGTTACTTGGCAAGTTAATAATGCTGATAGCTTCAAAGGGGCATTTCTAAAATAATCATAAATCTAATTATGAATCTTAATTATAAATTTCAAAGAGGAACAGGGGGTAATCAGAAGTCTAGGATTTATGTCTACCTGGAGAAGGGGAAGGGGTAGGGTAGCGTGACATTTGTTGTCAAAATTTTTATGGTAGTAATCTTTTTGATATATTTGGAATAGAGGCTCAAGTTGACGAACGATTTGTGCTTAGCCAACTCGTTGTAGTAGGTGTCATATGGGAAATAATGGGTGGTGTAAATGCAGTGCACTTGCCTCTAATCTCTCGATCGAAATGCAGTCAAGTTCTTATCATGTGGTGTAAAAAAAACTTGTCCACATGCTCGATTTTGAAATTCACTCCTGGTTAGCATAGAGCAGTTTTAGTATGACTGTGAAAAGTTCACTGCTTGAACATGGTCATGACGTGGCAAGCCATTTGCCAGACCAATCACACGGCATGAGAATTTATTCTCCATCCAATGAAATACTCAAAACATCACATAAACATGGCGTGGACACAGTCATGCCAAGGAAACCGTACAGCAGACAATCACATCACATGAGAAAAAAATCAGCCAATGGAAGTTCTAGAAAACATTATGGCCGCAGCACTGCACGCTTACGGCAATGAGCTTTTCACAGTCATGGGAAAACTACTCTAATACAGATGCTGCGAAGGCGTAAGTAGTAAAATCAAGGTACAATCATTTCGTGAAGGGGGGAGGGGGGCAGGGGTCTAAGAATGATACAAAGTAAATTTCATCGTTAGTAAAGCACAAAAAATATTCTACATCACGGAACACGTATGTCCAAAAACATATTAAAATATCCCTACAATAATGCTTAATAAATCACTAGTCATACCTTGGCACATATTCCACAACCAATACAAAGGGTTTCAGAAATGTAAGCAATTTTTGAATCCTCTTTCACTTCGATACACAGTTTCCCTAAACAAGTCGTACAAATAAATACAGTAAAAATACTCATTCAAACAGACGCAAGGAAAAAAAGAACTTTCAAAATGCTAAGCTTACGTGTTCTTTAGAGCCACACACTTCATACGTTCACTTACCCATTCGTACGACAGGACAAGATTTCTTACATTCTTGTCGACATCTTTTGGGTTTACATTTATCAGAACTGACAATGGCAATACGTGTAAGTTTATCTTGAGTTTGTTGGTTGTTTTTATTGATACCAGCCATCGTTAAGGGCAGTAAAATTCACCGACTACGGAATTTCGAAATTACCGGAAGATTCAAAATGGCGCCCGTGACCATGTGGTCTCCACTGCGCGCGCATCCTTTCGATATGGCGGAAAATTTTACGTAGTTCTTTTTAAATAAAAACAACCCCTTATGTTTTTATTTTTCAGTAATAACTTATTATTTGATTTTATTCTGCATTTTTAGAGACAAAAGGGAAGAAAAAATTTCGGATATAAAATTTGTCATACTTCCGTTCACTTCCGGKTGGTTCTAGTACTTCACGTCCACACGTGTTTCAAGATGGCGGCCTGAGTGGAAGGTACAATGCACTTGCACTGTTATAAAAATGAACGCAATTAGACTATGCAAAGGGAATACAGGAATACTATTTCGACAATTTAAAAGATACTCTGCAAGTACGTTGTTTGGAAGGCAGTTTAAAGCTGATGGTGGTTGTGATTTTGTAAATATTCCAAAGCAAAATGCACGGCATGAAAAAATCTCTCTGTTGGAATTTGTCAAAAATTTTGAAGAAAAGTCTTTAAAAGAACCCGATGTCCACCATGACATTCCAAAGTCTTGGACGAAAGCTAATAGAAGAGGAGGAGTATCATCCATTCTACAAAACAGCCGTCCACAAATTTTGGGTTCTACACGACAGCAAATTGAAGGGAGGTTGTCCTTGCTGGAGTCTGTTGGTATTACAGGAAAAGATGCCTTACTAATAGCCACTGAGCTTCCCTCTCATTTTGAATTACCTGTTTCGAACTTCAGGGTTATTGGAGCTTTACTAAACAGTTTAGGTTGTAACCTTCCAAAGCTTATCATTAAAGCTCCTTATATTTTTGGTCTTGACAGTAAAGCTTTGGAAACAAATGTGCAACATCTTCAGAGTATTGGCATTCCAAATAAGGTCATTGGCCAAGCTGTTGACATTAACCCATTAATAATTATATACCCTCTATCTGATCACGCCTCTAGAACGATCCAGTTGCTGTTATCATCCTGTGAATTTGACGAGGGCAATGCTGCAGATGGACATTTTTCTGATTTTAGGAAGGTAGATCGGAATGAGTTTGCCCTACGCCTTCTAAGGCAGCCTTTTGATGGCATCAGGGAACAAGGTTTTCTTGGAGAGAATTTCAAACAAGTTGCAAAGTTTCTTTATGAGATTCAGGTTTCTCCTTGTCTTATGGTTTTGAATAACCCACGATTTTTCCAAGCAGACATTGAACAGTTGCACCAAGCACTTGAGTTTTTCACAGGGAGACCATTGCTTTTTGAAACCGAGTTAATCCAAAAAATGATGGTCTCAAAATCAGAAGTGTTTCTACATTTTGAGAGAAAAGTGTTTGAGGAACGTTTAGAGCTTCTTAAAGGAATTCTGAAAACTCCACGACAACTATACTTGCTTTTACAGAAGTATTTCTTTTTTCAGGGGGAAGAAATGAATTTAGAACACAATATTGAAATCCTGAAAAAGTACAATTTTCAAAATGAGCAGATTGCTAATATCTTAACTTCTAAGGATTTTTTTGTCTCTCAAGAAAATGACATTGAGGCAAAAGTAAAATTGTTACTTTCTGTTGAAGGTATAACAGTGGATCAAATTGCAGATAACTCCTTTTGCTTGTTAAAATCATTAACATCTTTGCAAAATCGTATCAAGTTTGCTACAGAAGTCAAACCTGAGATCCTAACTGATCTAAACATGGAGATGATATTTGCAACTGAAGATGAAGAATTTATAACCCTTATTTGTAAAAGCACAGTTGAAAAATATCAAGAATTGACAGGTGAAGAAGTTTCAACAAAGAAAATCCCAGCTATGCAGCAAAAAAGAAGAAAGAAAAATGTTACCTAAGAAAATTACTTTACAATAGCAATTGAAAAATGTTACTTACATTGAGACACCAACTGGGACCATTTGATCTAAGTTTAAGATAAAAACTTTAGCCAATCAAGAAAGAACAAAATCTGTGTCATATTAACTTCAACCTATTGCAATCTCACATTCCCATGGTTGTTGACAACATCACAGTTTTTCTCAGATATCTAGGCTTCATTGCTTTTTCCTGATTGGTTCAAATTTGATTTAAGTTTGATTCCTTTGTTTTCACTCTATGCTGTGATTGGTTAACTTTCTTCAAGTGGTCCTGGTTGGAGCGTTTTCACAGTAACCAGGAAATGGTTTTAGAGTGATTTTCAAATATGTGGGAAACTTGAATCGGCTTTGAAGTTTGCTCTAGGCCATTTTCCCCTGGTTTTTGGGGTGCCTGTTTGGTTGACTTCAACAAAAGATTTGGTTTTGTTGTCTTTAAATTGTCAGGTCAAGCAACATAGTAGCCATGTCTTTTGTCTTCTTATTCTTATGGCAAGGCCATCAATAGACCCCTTGCCAAAATGGTGGCTGAAAATTGAAAGGTGTTATATCGGCCGAGAAAAATTTAAAGACATTTGTATGTCTGGGGGTATACGCTATACCCACTGACATACACGTCTGTAAATTTGGCAATTTTCAACTTGAGTTTTCTTGGCCGTTATAACACCTGTCATAATGAATATTCGTATGGTTACTAAAATAAAAGTGCTTGATCCAGCCGGCTGGTATGGTTTTTCTCTCAGTTTAATCTTAACTCAACCGAATTCGCAGCTGCCATTTTGGCAAGGGGTCTATTGTTTCAAACACAATCAGTATTGTTTTCTGAATTATGATCTACTGAAAAGACCAAAAGCTTTTAGCCTGTGCCATTTATTGCTGCTCTGAAATAGACTTAATAGAATTAAAAACCTCTATTGCTTCAAAATCAATGATGTTTTGGCCTTTTAAGTATATTGGGCAGCCCTTATTGGATTGGGTTGGAGCGGAGGTAAGGGATCTGCACTGATCACATCAGGTACAAACATTGGTGTTGTCGTGGGTTTCAAAATTTACAGTAAAATCACAGGTAACCCAGGCTATTCACTTTTAGGAGAGAATGATCGTATGCAGTAAATAGATTTTTCTATGATTTGGTAAATAACTTTTAGGGTATACATACAAAAACTTGTTAAAAGAAATCAGATTGGGATATGTTTGTGGAAGTCTTCAGATATGGCACATTGCAAAGAAATGAATGATATGAGGGTTGCTTCTGACCAATCGGAGATAGCCGTTCTCACAATCCAATAAACAATGCTTTCTCTCGTAGTACATATTATGTGATCGCAACATTACAGATAATCTCCCAAAAAGACATTTTCATTTGAGCTGGGACAGTATCCACGTGGTCATTGAAATGTTTTAACTTCTCCTTCATTTTGTTATTGGTTAATTGGTACGTTATCAGAAAGCCCCATATGATTGGGTTTGATCCGAAAATATGACAGTCCGTAGACCGGCTCAGCAAATGTTATAGGTTGCCAAACCAAATACATGAGGGTTTTTTTCCTCGCAAATGCTGACAAGATGAATTGCATTGTGAAAATCTACTGTGAATTGTTTTAACCTATCAAAGGTTTGTTAAATTCTGGTTAAAAGGAATAATAAAACTTAAAAATTCGTTACAAAAGTGATTTTGCTAACTTACTACTTACTTTATTTTTACTAACACGACAAAAAACATTTTTCAAAAGATTTTGATAATTTATTTTATCATTATGTCCCCCTCATAAACAATCTGTGACATCATAGGGAAATAGACCTCTTTAGCTTCGTATGCAAATTGCCCATTTGAGATCACATAACATTCTCTTGAGAATTGTTCTTTTATGACGAACATGTTAAAATATTTACATATGAAAGGATCAACTCCAGAGTGGCATCATATGGTCTGAAATGTGCAAAACGAACTACAAAGCTAAAGAGGCCTATTGCATAACTATGTTTATAGTAAATCGACACACAAGTACAAATTCTCAAGATTTCAAAGCTTTATTCCAGCCATTTAGATAACAAATTCATAGGGAAGTGGTTGGAGTGCGACAGGCTTGTTTCTCTTGGTTCTTACAAGGTGACTAGGACGAGGTTGAACAGGCTGGAAAAGAAAAAAGAATACAAGGGGTGTCAATTGAATAATCTAAGTAACCTTAATCAGGAATAGAATGGTGGCAAGCTGCACAAGTACACAACAGTAATAATACTGCATATTCTTAAATCAATTAGGAAATCGCATGAACTTGAGCAAAATTTGGAATGTATTATTTATTATATACGATATATATGTATTATATAAAATTAAGGATTATTTTACAAGGGAAGTTTTGAAAGTTTTCAAAATTGGAGAACTTCAAAACATCACGAGTATCTATAAACTCTGAATTGTATGATTATATTGTTTTGTTTATAATACGCTCAACAAAATTGTGCAACTTAATTGGGACGCTACGGAGTACAAAATGGGATTCAATTTGTAATCCTCTTGTCCAATCAGAATCGAGTAATGGACCTAGATGGACAACCAGAGAACCTGGAGAAAGGCTGAGGAATGGAAGGAGATATCTGACAAATTTATGTGATTATGTGTGATTCTGAATCTTAGAATAGATCCTAACACCTAGATCTGACCGTCCTACATGAAAGAGACTTGGCCTTGTATAGGTTTTCATACCTGTCTCTTGCAGTTAATGACTTTTCCAGCGGCTTTAGCCTCCTTCTTCTTGGTTTCATTTTCCTTCACTCTCCTTAAGAGACCAAAAACATATGTCAAACTTGTTCTTAAAACAACAAATGAAGTTGTGCTTCACCATAAAGAGAAAACAAAATCCGATGAGAAATTGGAATGTATAAGAAAAGAGACCATTTTACCTTAAGAAGTCGTCTCTGCACTTGGAATGTCGAACATGCTCAACACGCAAATTGATTTTCTTGGCCATGATTCTACCCCTGGAAATTAATATTATGAATTTAAAAAAATTGAAGTTTGTGTTGTACGATTCCTAAATTAGGAAAAGGCCCTTGTATAGTATCTTTAGAACCGATTTACTTTCACAGTAAAGGATTGTGCAACAAAAAGGTAGGATTAATAACTAGTAAACTTTTTGCAGGTCTTACAATAATAGCCAGTCAGTAACCAGTCATGATGATCAGCCAAAATAGTTTTAGCTTGATCATGCCTCCTCTCTGGCCCAATGTTATAGTCAAAATAACCAGCAAGACAAAAATTTGGCTGGACAGGTTCCAATTGGCCAGACTTTGTGTAATGATCGGTCATTACTTTAAGCTAGTTTTTATGATTTTGATCTGGTTCTTGAGTGTAATACAATGATTATAATACAATGCCTTGCCAAAGTATATATAATATTTTTGTCCTTCGCTAAAAAATTTAGAGACTGCCATTTTCTAGATTTGTAAAACAAAAGTAATCAAAATAATGTATGTTTAATAATTTATTAAACTTTACACACTTACTTGTTCTTTTTGTTTACGACAACACCCAAAGCACGCTTGGTAACATTGTAGACTCGGCCAGTTTTTCCATGATATACCTTATGGGGCATACCCTTCTGAACAGCACCATTTGCCTATTGAAAAAAAGATACAAATATGTATTTTAGAATTGACCATAAGTTGGATTTTAATATTCATTGAAGACAAAGAACTAAAACTTAAGATATTCTTTATTATTAATCAGTCTTTTAAGCGATAAAAACCTGATCACTTAATACCAATCAATGTCAAAGTTTTTTAAGTATTAATTAGCCATACATTGATTAATAACAATCAGTTATTAATTAGAAACTAAATTGCTTTAAATGGAGTTTTATTTTTACAATAACTCACAAATTTCTCGCACGCTGATTGGTTATTTTTTATAATCAATAAGCGGACAGACAGATAAAGCAGACGTCAACAAGCGCGCGCTCTTTCTGTTGGTTGTTTTGATCACTAAAAATGAGAAGTTTTTATTGTTTTTGTTATTGTAAAATACAAAGGGAAATCAGTTTTTTGTGTCTGTCCTCTTATTGACAATAAATTGCGTCATCACATTGTCAAAGTGCATGCGGATCCACTCAGGATCCAYGAGGCATCTATTTGTTAAATTGATTGCATTTCCGAACGTCCATTTAGTACACTGGAACAGGACTTAAAATAATGGTCTGACATGGTGAACACCCAAATTACTTTTTGCTTAGTAATACCTCATTTCTGGCTCAACATCAAAATGACCGGCAAGGCAAAGATTTGACTAGATGAGTTATCAATTCCCACTGGACACTGACAACTGGCCATTATTTTAAGTCGTGTGAGAAGGGAAAGGACCATGAAATAGTTTATTTTAATGGGAAGTGAGGGGAAGTGAGCTAATGCGAGGAGTGGGTTTAAGGGTATCTAGGACTGTCTCTTCCACAGTCTTTTAAAGAAAGACAATTTCTGTGTAATGAAGTTATATTGACTACATATATACTAGCTGCCTACTACTGTAGAAGCTTTTTCTTCACCAAATTTATAGCCAAAAGGGAATATTGATATGCAATCCAACCCATGGAAAAAACATCAAGATTATTACATCTAGATTTGTTATCAATTTGTTTGAAGAAATACAAATAATTTTCGTGTAAAGCTTTACAAATCTACGAGTTATTTGATCTAGAATATTACTCAATTCTGCTCCAAACTTGCCTTAACATCGACAATATCACCAACTTTGTAGGTCTTCAAGTATGTTGACATATGAATGACACCTAATACAAAGTAGATTATATCATTATATCATGAGAAATCATAACACACTATAAAACTTGAAAAAAAGGATGGTAAAATAGTGTTATAGAGAGTCTACACACAACGTACCACGTTTCCTGAAATCCCTCGAGAACATGTACCGGGTTCCCCGGCGATATCCAGTAGTGTTCACCATTTTGATAGAGTCTGACAAAAAAAGAACATTTAGTGAGCCAAAAACGTGTTTAGCTTTTGACTTTGCGGCATTAATATGTGTAAAAAATCCATTTTCTCTGACCATACCTTGCTACCACGTGAACCAAGATGGCCGAAACGAAGAAAGAGGAAGGTTCATTAATATGCACATCCCAGCATTCCATGCGCGTCTTTCGGTTCAGACTCTCGCGGTATTTTAGGCACAGGAAGACAAAGATCGGTGTTTGTTTAAAGCCACAGGTAGCTCAATTCGAAAACGAATATAACATATAACTTCATTTTCGTGTCAATCTTTTAACGCAGCATTAATAGAATACACTGTATTTGGGTACAAATACGAATAAATATATAGGATAAAATATGAAAYGTGCACATTTCATTTAGTAAATTTTGATGATATATACCGTAAATCCTCTATTTAGTCCCCCTCTCTAATAAGCCCCCCCTTTTTAAAGGAAGAAATTTGTTAAGCCCCCCTCTCTTCTTAGCCCCCCCCCTCCCCCTTTCACAACTAAAGATTATACTTGAGAGACTAACACAGGTGAATCAAATAATAAAAATGCCATGTACATCACTACAGATTATGCGAGACGGTCAATAGTAATGCTTCC